GGATCCAGAACTGAATTCTTTAAAACAAAATGGCCGCCAGTCGGCCATTTCGAACCCGATCCAAAAAAAAAAATGACGTGCATCAAGGTCCTATTATGTTTAATGTATGTACCAAATTTGAACAAAATCCATCCATGCATAACTGAGATCCGGGTCCGGAATGGTGAAAATGTGCGATTTTGATGCATTTTCGGCCTTAAAATGGCCGCTATTCGGCTATCGTTAATCGGATCATGAAAAAAATGCATGTGCATATGTCCCATATAAGGTGTGATGTATGAGTGAAGTTTGAACTTAATCGGTCCATGCATGTTCGAGATACAGGTGATCACGGACGCACGGACGCACACAGGGCAAAACATAAGTCCCCGTTTTCGGACTGCGTCCGAACGGGGACTAAAAACACAAATCATTAATCATGGTTTAGTTGTGGCCCTATATGTCAAAACTTATGCTTGCATTTTGAAATTTATTAAAAAAGGTCATATTATTTTTGACTTTTCCAAGATCTAAGTTGAAGGACATCTTAGACAGACCCAGTCAACAATGATGATGGCAAATATTTTCTCAGCTCATTAAATTTCGCTTGATGGTCGTAGAAAAAAGTTGACTTACGTGTTTCTAAAACGTCAGTTATGTCCAATGTTAAACTTGGTATAATTCTATTGTACATTTTATATTGTTTTCCGAACCTTGGCATTTGAACAATCAAACATGACGGAACCTAGGAATGCATAAAGATAAGTATAAACAAGCAGTCTCTTGGCTGAGATAACTCTGCTGTTAGTAGTGCACATTTGAATTAAAGAACTGAAGTTATCATTAGAAAATGAACAAATCTGAGAGAAGTCTACCTAAGGTATGTATAGTATCAAGGCAATCTGACTTGCGGTTTTCAACAAGAAGTTGAAAATATCACTTTTTACCAAAAATGACAAAAATATTTACCAGGGTATCAAAATTAGAGAATTGAAGATATCATAACGAAATGAACAAATCTGAAAGAGGTCTACCTGTAGTACTTATATGTATAATATCAAAGTAATCAGACTTGCAGTTTTCAAGAAGAAGTCGAAAACATCACTTCTTACCAAAAATATTCATCAAAATTAGAGAATTAAAGACATCATCACAATATTAACAAATCTAAGAGAGGTCTACCCAAGGTACATATACACCAAGTATCAAAGCATTCAGGCTTGTAGTTTTCAAGAAGAAGTCGAAAAAATTAAAAGTTGACACGGTTAACGATGGACGCCGACGATCAACAGCGGAGCTAAAAATTATCATGGTAAACTGATATGGTTATTTCAATAAATAATTCTGAAAAAGTAACAAAAAAATTAGAAACATACGTCCACTAGTTTGATATCTGACAAAATAAAAGACTGTTCAAACAATTCCTGTACAGTTGGAACTTGTTTGTTTTCATCTTTATCCATGAACATTTGATAGCAAAAACTTGTATGTTCTTCATCATTTGGAGATCTGCAACAAGAGAACAATGCTTGTACCATCAATAGAAAAGAAAACTGGTAATTCATTCATATCCAACTGAAGGTAATTCATTGTGGTACTGTAGTGTTAAATCCCCATGCATAGTCACACATCCACGGATAAATAGATGTACTTTCATAGTTTTGAATAACTTGTGCTTGTTACCCTGGTCTTTTCAAGCATGATTCATATTTAAGATCAATATTACTTCATTTTATCGCTACTAAATGCTTTGTCAGACATTATCCTTAGCTCAGAATAGAATACTATTGCTAGAATCATCCTCTAAGTATTTTCATTTTTATTTCATACTTACTTTAGTTTTAGAAATGGTTCTGCTTTACAGACTTGCTGTAGAAGGGTGTTAAGAAACTCCTCTGGGTCTTTCTCTTCGGAGGTCAATCCTGATACAGATCCTAACCGATCAAGCAGCTTGCGTAAATCGTTAACACGATCAGCTCTCACAAAACCATTCCTGTAACAATGTAGTACACATGATCAACAAATAGTTGAAACGCAGACAACAAAGAATGAAATAACATGCAATTGCAGTAGGTGAATTAAATACCAAGAAATTAAGCATTTTGTAATTAGTTATACATACTCCTGGTCAAATTAAGAATATTGACAAAAATACCCAGGGTCACCAGCTTATCTTTTGAGAAAATGATGGTTACATTTTAGTGAGTGGCGGCCATTTTGCCAGTATTATAGTGCTTTTACCATTGGTGTAACTATTTGGTTTTTTACATACAAATCTCTATATCAGTCTGAAATGGAACTGGAATTCCCTCAAACAGTGCATGTCTCAGACAAGTTGATGGAAAATATAAGAATAAAGTATTTGATGGATTTTATTTTCACATAATCATCCCACCCCTTCAGCGAAAATAGTGAAAAAAAGTATTTTACAAAAAGCTTGCCACATTCATGCAGATTATTGTTTCTCTGTTTACTGATTGGTTGTTACCGATATGGTGTGCACAGTTGATATACGCAAGGTAAAATAAAGTAGTGACTTCACTACTCTGCAATGTTCATAAACAATAGAATGAAATTACCATAACAATAAACACAAATAGAGGTAATTAACATATTTCATTGTTATACAAATTTTACGACTCTGGGCAATTTGTCCGGAAAGAATGCACACTGTAAACATTTTATTCAAATGAAATAAACATTGCTCACAGTTGTACTATCGTCATATTAGATGTACTACTTTGCCTGTAAATGTACAACTGGTTGTTAGCAATTCTCTGAAAACTACCCACTATTGATGTGTAAACATTCATTGTTGTGTGAGCCTCCACTACTATGTACACTACTGTAAAAAATGTTGAAAAAGCGGCATGCAATTTTAGCGAATTGTGGTAAAATTACGTAATAGCAAAATGTTGATTTAGCGAATCTCTCTCGTCATTGTTGATTTCTTTGTTTGGGGGCTATTTTGAATTTATAATAAAGTCGTTGACATCTTGAATTAGCGAATCAGTTCTAGAAAAAGACATGCTCGCGAAAAAGATACGTTTTACAGTATGTACAGTTCTGATGTTAGTTCTGCTTTAAGAATGATAGTTTTTCTTGTGAATACTCAATATTACAGTACAGTGCAGTGCAGTGCAGTTTTATAATCCATGTAGTCATCAGAATTGAACCAAACTTGTGAAGTTCTTTAACAATTTACTGTTAAGCAGAATGATTATCGTGTAACTAGATTCACTTCCATTTCCCAAATAATATTTTTATTCTCATTGCAAAGTAAAATGTCATCTGTCTTTCCATCATTCCTGGAAACCTCAATCATTTCAAAATCCATCCAACAATAAAGTGAAAACAAGTCAATGACATAGTCCTTGATTGTATTATCAGCGTTAGATATCACATGACTAACAAGGGGATATTCATAATATCGACTAACATGTATGCAATATGTTTCTGTACATATTTAAAAAAGATAACTGCCAGTCACTTGTTGACTAAAAATGCATCTGTGTTTGTTCGATATGTGTAAAATTCGAACTTGATCGGTCCAGGCATGTTGGTGATGTAGATCCCAAACTGCATTCTTTAAAATAAATTGGTCGTCAATCGGCCATTTGGAACTCAATCCAAAAAAATAAATTGAAGTGCATCAAGGTTATATTGTGTTCAATGTATGTATCAAGTGTGAACAAATGTCTTCCATGCAATACTGAGATCCGGTTCTGGACTGCTGAATGTGCATGATGATGATAATTGGCCATCTTGAATCAGCTCATCAACAGATGCATGTCTGGTGCGTTGTATATGTGTGTACAAGTTTATACTTTATTGGGTTAGACATGTCAGTTACATGGATCTGGAAAAAAAAAGGCCGCCAGTCGTCCATTTGAACCTGATCCAAAAAATAAAAACCGCACACCAAGGTTAATGTATGTACCAAGTTTAAACCAAATCTGTTCACACGCGACTGAAATTCAGTCTCGGAATGGTGAAAATGTGTGATTTTTATGCATTTTTGGCCTTAAAATGGATGAATCAGATCATGAAACAAATGTGCATATGTCCAATATAATGTCTGATGTATCTTGCAACGCATGCATGAGATTCCGCTGCATACAGACGAACGAATAGACAGGCTACACACAGAGGTGTTCTAACTGTGTACAACTGATGACTAGTAATTTGAATCATGGGAAAACCCTGTAAACAGATTACAACTAGTTCTAGCCAATCAGTCAATGTAAAAGCATGTAAAACATATAAACAAGTTCATCTTCCTATAACCCCCCCAAATAAAGGTCTGCTTGTTTTTAGCCAGAGTAAAAGCAAGTGAACCCTGACCTATATTATCATCAATAATTTACTCGCCTCCTCAGTGGATTGACAATCCCTTCTCGTAGAACTTTCTGAACTTCGTCAAACTCGTCAAGATCGTCAGCCCTTTTATCTCTCAGTATAATCTTATCAAATGTGATACTGAATGCAAACATACTATAGAGTGTAGAATCTAGATAACAGGAATTATGATGACCCTGGATGCCCTTAGCAATACCACATAGATCGGCTGATAGTGTGTTTGGAGGACCAACGTAACCATCTATCATTGGGGACTCATAATCACCAAAAGCTGAAAAAAACAAAAATTGGTTAATATGTCTATATTTATGGCTTTTAATTCAGTTGAGTTTATCTCAGTAATTGGTTTCACGTCTGACTAGTTCATTTGAGTTTATCTCAGTAACTGGTTCCCAGCTGGTTGGTTTAGTTGAGTTTCGATAATTAGTTTCATTGCTGACGAGTATAGTTGAGTTTAGGTAATTTGTTTCAGGGCTAGTTAGTTTAGTAAAGTTTAGGAAATTGGTTTCACAGCAGGTTGGTTTAGTTGAGTTTAGGTAAATGGTTTCATAGCTGACGAGTTTAGTTAAGTTTAGTAATTGGTTTCATGACTGGCTTGTTTAGTCAAGTTTAAGTAATTGGTTTTATGACTGGCTAGTTTAGGTAATTGGTTTGAAAGCTCCTTGGTTTAGTTGAGTTTAGATAAATGGTTTCATGACTGGCTGGTTTAGTTAAATTTAGTAATTGGTTTCATGACTGGCTTGTTTAGTCAAGTTTAAGTAATTGGTTTTATGACTGGCTAGTTTAGTAATTGGTTTCAAAGCTCCTTGGTTTAGTTGAGTTTAGATAATTGGTTTCATGACTGGCTAGTTTAGTTAAATTTAGTAATTGGTTTCATGACTGGCTTGTTTAGTCAAGTTTAAGTAATTGGTTTTATGACTGGCTAGTTTAGTAATTGGTTTCAAAGCTCCTTGGTTTAGTTGAGTTTAGATAATTGGTTTCATGACTGGCTAGTTTAGTTAAGTTTAGTAATTGGTTTCATGACTGGCTGGTTTAGTCGAGTTTAGGTAATTGGTTTTATGACTGGCTAGTTTAGTAATTGGTTTGAAAGCTCCTTGGTTTAGTTGAGTTTAGGTAATTGGTTTCATGACTGGCTAGTTTAGTTAAGTTTAGTAATTGG